CTTCCTCCAGGTCTCCCATGCAGGTGCAGGGGCCCAAGGACTTGGGCCATCTTCTACCGCTTTCCCAGACCACAGCAGAAAGCTGGATCAGAAGAGGAGCAGCCGGGTCTCGAACTGGCACCCATATGGGATGCTGGCCCTGCAGGTGGAGGATTAACCTACTGCGCCACAGCGCCTGCCCCTGAACATTATCTTAAAACAAGTGAAAAGCTGAAAATTTCAGAAAAGACAGTTATAAAATATAAAAGGAAGAAGGTAATTCTGTCATTTGTGACAACATGATGAACCTGAGGACGTTATGCTAAGTGAAATAAGCCAGGCAAAGAAAGACAAATACAGTGTGATCTTGCTTATAAGTGGAATCTATAAACGCTGAACTCTTGGGAGTAGAATGGTAGGTATCCAGGGCTGGGAGGGGAGGGGTGAGAGAATTGGGAGAAGTTGATCAAAGAGTACAAAATCCCAGTGCAATAGGAGCAAGGTGATCGTGACTAATAATAATATACTATGCATTTCAAAATTGCCAAAACAATAAATTTTAAATGTTCTTGCTACTACTATAAATGATGAATGAGTGAAGTGAGTACTTAGCTACCCTAATACAATCATTTCACAATGCACATATTTTTCAAAGCATCAGATGCATATATACAATTATTATTTGTCAACTACAAATAAAAATTAAATTAAAAGAATCCAAATAAAAGCTATATACTGCAATTGTCTGTTTCTATGAAGACCCTTTTAATCTATAGGTTCCTGCTCAATTTACTTCTTCTCTATCTGAATTATTTTTTTAATAAAGTTGGATTGTTTACCTCCACAAATTATAGAACTGAGCAATGCAATACCAAAAATGAAAAATTTCATTATGGGCTCCATGGTAGAGCAGAGATGGCAGAAAATAGAATCTACAACTGGTGAAACTGCCCCTCAGGAATGGAGGGGAAATAATAAGATTCTCAGTCAGAGGAAAACAAAAAAATGTATTGCTAGCAGACATACTCTAAAGAATGGCTAAACAAATGTCTTCAAACAGAAAATAAATGATAAAGAATCTTGGAGCATTAAGAAGGATGAAGGAACAACAGTAGCAGAAACGTGAGCACACACAATAGACTATCCTTTAACTTGTGAATTTCATAAATCATATTTCATCATTGAAACAATAGTTATAACATCTTATACTCAAGGCAGTGATATTTTAAAGTGGACCTGAATGTAAGTCAGGTTTCCACACTTCACTCATAGTACTAAAATATTGATACCAGTAGATTGTGTTGACTCCTATATACTTACCCAGAGCAAGAACTATAGAAACTGTACAAAGATGTACAGATTAAACACTATGAACAAATAAGCATGGAATTATAAAAAAATGTTCAAGTAACTGATAGGAAGGTAAGGAAAGAGTAATAGAGGAATAAGAATCAAAGGAGAAAAACAACAAATAATACAATGGCATGCCTAAGAACTAACAGATCAATGATTATAGAAAATGTAAGCACACTGGATGGAAATCCAACTACATGTTGCTCACAGGAAACTCACATTAAACTTAATGACAAAGTAGACTGAAAGTAAAAGGACAGAAAAGTTTATGCCATGTAAGTATTAATTAAAAAAAATCTGGAGTAGCTATATGAATATCTGACATAGTAGACTTCAGAGCAAATAAAATTACTAGAAACAAAAAGACAATATCTAAAGACAAAAGGATCAATCCAGCCAAAGGGCATGACAGTTCTTAATGCATACACGTTAAACAACAGAGTCTCAAAAGACACAAACAAAAACTGATAGCAAGCTAAAAGGAAAGAGAGGAAGCCACAATTACAGATGGTAACTTCAATTCTCCCTCTCAGAAGCTAATTAATCTACTAGACAGAATGTCAGCAAGGAAATGGAAGATCTGAAAAAGACAATCAACTAACAGGGTCTAATTGAATGTGCTGTTATTCCATCTATGCATCTATCAGAATGGCTAAAAGGGAAAATAGTGACAGCATCAAATTCTGCTAAAGAGGTGGAGAAATTGGATCACTCCTTTGGTTAATGGGAATGTCAAATAGTGTAGCCACTCTAGAAAATAGTGTGGCTTGTTTTTAATAAAATTAAACATACAACTATCACATGACTCAGCGATTGCACTTGTGGGCATTTGTCCCAGAGAAATGGAAATGTCTATTCACACAAAAATCTGTACACAATGGTGTGGGTGTGTGGCCTAGCAATTAATTTGCCTTGTGGGGTATCTGCATTCCGTATCAGAATGCTTGAGTTCCAGTCCCAGCTCTGCTTCCAATTCCAGCTTCCCGCTAATGAACATCTTGGGGGCATATCAAGTGATGGCTCAAGTACTTGGATCCCTGCCACTCATGTGGGACACCTAGATTGTGCTCCTGGCTCCTGGCTTTAGTCTCAGATCAGCCAAAGTTGTTGTGGATGTTTGGAGAGTGAACAGATGGAAGCACTCTCTGTATGTCTCTCTATCTCTCTGCCTCTGAAATAAATAAATAATAAAATGAAAACAATAGTGAAGCACCTTGTAAACTTAAAAAAGTCTCTACATGAATTTTCATTGCAGTTTTATTCAATATCTAAAAGTTATAAATAGCCCAGATGTCCTAAAATGTGAATAGACAAATTGTTCTAACACATGACTGATACACTGTTGACTGCTACAAGGCAATAAAAAGCAACAAACCACTGCTGATACACCCAACAACCTAGGTGAATTTTTAGGTAATTATGGTGAGTGAAAAGAGCCAGTTCCAACATTTATTAGCTCTGTGATTCTATTTGTGTAACATTTACCAATGGAAGACAGATTAGTGATTATCATTGGTTAGAAACAGGATGTAGTGCAGCAGGCAGGTGGATGTGATTATGAGCACAATATGAGGGGTCCCTGGGAAATACCACTCTCCAGTATTTTTTAAAAATAATTTTGTATTTATTTGAAAGGCATAGAGACAGAGACAGACAGACATCTCCTATCTACTGGCTTACTCTTCAAATGCCTGCTCTCTATGGGAAACCGCTGCCTGAGGCATCCCATACGGGCATCAGCTCGAGTCCTGGCTGCTCCACTTCCAATCCAGTTACCTGCTAATGTGCCTGGGAAAGCAGCCAAAGATGACCCAAGTGCCCATATGGGATGCTGGCCCTGCAGGTGGAGAATTAACCTACTGCGCCACAGCACTGGCCCCTGAACATTATCTTAAAACAAGTGAAAAACTGAAAATTTCAGAAAAGACACTTATGAAAATATAAAAGGAAGAAGGTAATTCTGTCATTTGTGACAACATGATGAACCTGGAGGACATTATGCTAAGTGAAATAAGCCAGGCAAAGAAAGATGAATACAGTGTGATCTCGCTTATAAGTGGAATCTAAAAACGTTGAACTCTTGGGAGTAGAATGGTGGGTATCCAGGGCAGGGAGGGGAGGGGTCAGATGGAAGCCTGGAGCCTGGAACTCAATCTGGGTCTCCCATATGAGTAGCAGGGACTCAAGCACTTGAGCTGTCATCTACTGCCTTCCAGGGTGTGAATTGCTAGGAGGCTGGGATTGAGAGCATAGCTGACACTCAAACCCAGGCTCTCCAATATGCAATGTGGGCATCCCAAGTGGTATCTTAACTGCTGTGCCAAATGCCTGCCCCTGTTCGATATCTTGATTGCGGAGGTGGCTACATGGAACTACACACTTAGTTGTATATCACTAAGTGAACACACATACACATGTACGTAAAACTGGAGAAAGATGAATAAGATTGGTGGTTTGTATTAATGTTAGTATCTGGGCTGTGATATTATAGTGTAATTTTACAAACTGGGTAAATTGTGCATGGGCTCTCTGTCTTATTTTTTAGAATTACATGTGAATCTACAATTACTTCAATGAAAGTTTGAATTAAAAATCACCAAGAAACCCAAAGATCTTTCTCTATTTGAGTTATTTTTATCTATAATTTTTGTGCTAGAAATTAAAACTGAAAACATAGGACACATAAGCTCACATTCCATTAGATGCCAAAGCAATAACATCATTTCCTATTATGTAACTTCTAGAAAACTCTATTGTACATTTATGAAAGGATGAAAATGAAAAAGAAAAATAGCATTTATAAAAGATTTATTTATACATTTGAAAGGCAGAGAGAGAGAGAGAAAGAGAGAGAGAAATATCTTCTATCCACCGGTTTATTCCACAAATGGTCACTACAGCCAGGGCTGGGTCAGTCCAAAACCAGAGGCCCAGAATTCTGTCTGTGTCTCTGACATGAGTGGCAGAGGCCCAAGGACTTGGGCCATCTTCTGCTGCTTTCCCAGGTACATTAGCAGGGGGCTGGATCAGAAGTGGAGCAGCTGGGACTTGAACTGGCACTCCGACATAGGATTCTCACATCACAAGCTGCAGCCTAAGCCACTGCGCGACAATGCCATCCCCAGAGAAACATCTTAGTATTACTATGAATAGAGCTTTGCTCCCACAGCCGCTCAAAATGGTCTTAGGGATAGGGTAACCAACATGTAGTATTAATTTGCCTGGGACTTCCCTTGTCTTCTCCCTGAACATTCTAGCAAGTTGGTGTAGTTTCTCTGAGACTTAGCAGATGGTAGAACTGAAAGTCCCAAATCCCACATCTAAGGAACCTCTGTGGCCCTGGTCAAACTAGGTTGGTCTTTCTTCATATTCGCTGACTTTTTGAGTTCCCAGAACCTCTGTGTCAGGCCATCCTCACACAGAGGAAATTTTCAATTCAGTGTTATTGCCCCAGCTTCACATAGGATTTGCTCATCTTCACATTAAAGTTTGTTGGAAACTTCCTTTCCCTTGCCTCAATTGCTGGCTTAGCTTTCTTGTATGGTTCCTTCTATTTTCTCTGTCTTCCCTCGGAATCAGCTAAAACATCTTTAAAATTTTTGTGATGAAAAAGTGTCAGCAGAATGTGCATATATATATCATTGTCTTTTTGATGATTATCTTTCCAGGTCAGGTTAGAGTGGTACAAGTGATCATCCCAGAGGGTTTTGTGAATGTGACCGTTGGATCTGATGCCACCCTTGTCTGCCTCTACAAAACCACTGTGACCTCGCAGGACAAGCTCACCATCCAGTGGTCTTTCTTCCATAAGAAGGAATTGGAGCCAATTTCTGTAAGGACTCTTTTCCTAAACTCTTCCCTTTTGGTAGTTCTGACTGAAAACTATTGAGGTAAGTGTGTAAAGGAATGCTGTACCAGTGCTGGTGGTGCCAGAACCTCTGAGACAAAGAGTTTGAAGATAGCTGTTTAGGGAAGTCCATCAACTAAGTGACTCAGCCTTTGCCTTTTTTCATATTTGATCATTCCCCATTATCTCAGTTCTGTATTTGTCAACATCAAGTGTATGATGCATTCCAGAGTAAACAGGAGCAGCCATTCTCATAGGTAAGAGAGACGGTAGTTCTGAAAGAATTCCACACACAACCCCCCCACACACACATACAGACACAAATATTTCATTATTTCCAGAAAATTCTAGTTTAAATGCAAGTTTAACTGATAGGTGTCTGACGAACTTAATATCTGGGATCTGCCTGTCAGGTGAGCTAGCTCGTTATGCCAGGCTGAGTTCCAACAGAGTGAGACTCCCCAGATAGGTGGGAAGAGGCCATGCTGGTGATGAATCCTGGGTGATGAAAAGCAGCATGAGGTGAGTGGGGAGAGGGTAGGGTGGGTAGGCATAGGATGCTGGAGAAGAGGTTGGTGGATGAAAGCCAAGGAAGGAGAATGATTCTATATGAAAGCTGCCCGTTCCCAAATTTTCCTCCATCTGGCCTTCTTGAAATTAACCCAAGGATTAAAATTGTGTACTCAAAGATGTGTGTGTGTGTGTGTGTGTACATATATACATGAGCATATAGTCCATTGCATGCCCACACACATCCTTTGATGGAAAAGGTTGAAAGTTTTCATCAGATTCCCAAAAGGATGCATGACCCAAAACAGTGCTTAAAGAAAAGACAAGTTAGTGTGGTTTGGAATAGTGGAATGCATTTGAGGTGGGCTCTAAAGGAAAGGAAGGGTTTACATTAGAAGAAAGATACAGGGAGAACAAATCGAATGGGCTGGGGGAAGGCCAGGGACGGAGATGGAGGAAAAGGCGGGCATTACTTTGGAGCAGCCACACCTTGGCCAGCGTCACTTCTGTTTAGCAGGAATCACCATTCAAGAGGGGTTTCCATCAATGTCTCCCTCTGAGCAAAGTTAAATAAGTTTGCTTGGTACTGGCTACCTTGGACAAATACCTGAATCACTCTGTGCCTTTCTTTAAAACGTGGTAGAACAGCAATACTCATGGGGACTCAACTGGCATAAAGCATGTGAAAACACATGGAAAAAAATATAAAGCCCTGTGAGTTTTATCCCATGTAACCACCATTGCGATTAGCAGCACCAGGTTCACCAATGGTGATTCTACGTGTTTCTGTCACCCAAATGCCCTGACCTAAGACCTTGCGTATTGGAATCAACTAAGAAATTGTCACTTTCTTTTGCATGTTGCTCTCCGATTATGGAAAGCAATAATCAAATGCTCTTTCTTCCTTTAAAATTCAACCTCCACACTATCCTTTTCAATGTGTTATTTATCTATATAGACTTGAGCACTCCTTTTGACAGTGGGGGCTGAATTTAGAGAGACCTTGCCAACATATTTTGAGTGAGATGTTTTGTGCTTGACACTCAAATCAAGATGTCTTCAACTGCCCGGAGGCCAAGCAAATCTAGTCTGAGTTCAAAATCACAACATTTTCCTTACACCTCATCTTGACACTGGGATTTAAAAGGTTACCTCTTGGTTGAACTGAGTAGATCATGAGGAGCTGAGAGGGAGCTAAGGGACTGAAAGAGCTTATGGGCAGGGGAAGAAGGTATACGTGTTTGAACTGAAGGTGGCTTTAGCTCAGAACAGCTCATAGAAACACTTTTTAAAGAAAATTTATTAACAAAAAATGTATTCAGTAGCTTTTAAAAAGATATTTATTTGAAAGGCAAAGTTACAGGGTGGGGGAGGGAAGAGAGAGAGGAGGGGGATATATCGTGAGATCTTTCATCTGCTGGCTGACTCCTCAAATGGCTGCAATGGCCAGAGCTGAGCCAGGTCTCCCACGTGGGTGGCACGTGAGAGCACGTGGGTGGCAGGTGCTCAAGCACTTGTACTTTCTGCTGCTGCTTTCCCAGGCACATTAGCAGAGAGCTGGATCAGAAGCAGGGCAGCCAGGATTAGAACTGCTTCTCATATGGGATGCCGGCATCACAGATGGCAGCCACAACGCAGGACCCTGAGTAGTTTATTTACTTGCCATTTACCACACTTTCCAAAGTGTCAGACACAGGAGGGGCAAGTGTAATTTAAGATAACTACTCTTTAGGGGGTGTTCCAATCAAAGGATATCCTCTGTATGGAACTGCTGGATCGAGAACATGTTCCCTGACCTTAAAACTTCAGGAGACCTGGGCTACGCCTATGAGTTAGCCATATAGCAGTCATGGCAGAGTAGGGCCAGCTCTTGGCTTGAGGGCAGTCAAAAGCATCCCCAAGGGGCAAACCTTCTCTTCCTTCTGTTTCCCTGTGCTGCCTCAGCTCACCATAGCCAGATCTCCATTACAATCCTCCTCAGGTCTCCACTGCTTGGAGAACTAGTGTCCCTGCCTGCTCTGCCAGACTCCGCAGGCATGTACTTCTCTCTGCTTTGTCAGACGAGGGGTTTTGAACCCCAGTGGAAATCTGATGGATGTGAGCTCTACTCTTGCTCTACCACTGACTTACTGGCTGGATGACCTTACAGAAGTCATCTGATCTTTCAGAGGTTCAGTTTTGCTATGTGCGGTGGAACTACTGGTCTACCTCAAAAGTTTAATGTGAAGATGAAATGAGATGTGTGCGAGGCACCAGGAAGCCTTCCATACAATAAGCTTTCAGTGAATGTGAGCTATGATTATCAGCAGCATCACTCTGGAAATGGTGGTTTTGTAAAATCCATAGGCCATTGGCACTAGGGAACCTAGCCCAACAAGATACACTTGGCAAGACTGAACAGCAAGGGGAGAGTGCTCTTCAGAGACATCAGAGGCAAGATTGTCTTCCAGTTCCACTCCCTACTGGGTCCCTGTGGCTCATGGGAGGGCCCAGACCCCTTCTCTGCTCCTCATCCCTGAACAGACAGCTGGCTCAACCAAGAGGTTGAAGACATTGGGTGTTGAGATGGTACTCTTCAACATGAGATTTGAGCACTTCCATGCATTTGAAAGTCACTGGATCACATTGTATGTTAATCCAAGGATTGCTGCTGGAACACTTGGCGGAGGGGGAGGTGTTAAAAAGAGTCTGCTGTACTATTAGACAATTCTGTGACTTATGGGGGGTAAAATATGGCCAGACTGACCACGGGGCTATTCGATTCAACTCCTGGGTTGATGTGGCAGTATACCATGTAGCATTCGGCTCTCAGATCCACCCATTTCTGCTCAAACACAGCACAGCCCGTGCCTCAATACTGAGGGTATGGAGGAAAAGGCAGTCAGTCAGTGTCTAAAAATGGCGCATGCAAGAGACGCTCGGGGAAGATGTAGCTGGACTTCTCAGGTAAGAAAACCTATTGATGCACTACTGGACCTTTTCACTGCTTCCAGTCTCCAGGGCACGTGCAGCAGGTTTCGGAGTGGGGCGGGAGGGTCTCAGTTTGGTAATGATGTAGATCAGCACAACCCTGTGACAAGGCCTGGGCAGTCTTGGGTTTACCTTCTCACGTCCATGTCTGGAACTCTTTTCTGCCTCCTCTCCGAAAGACTCACAGCCCTACAGCTGCCCTAATCAGGGCAGTGGATAGCTCTTGCCATATGCCCGGCCTCCCATCCTCCCTCAAATCCTGTGCTAAAAAAAGCCCTTGATCTTGAGGCCTGTGATACCATCTTGCTTATTAATATTTTCTCAATATCAATAAGCTCGTGGGTTCTTGCCATGTATTCAGAAAAGAATTCTGAATACTGGCTCAAATAGACCAGACCACATGGTAAGTTTTAAGGATTTTATTCAGTGTAAGAAATGAGTAGGAGAGTGAGGGCTTTATTTAGGGGAGAAAGAAAACTCTAGAGGCTAAGCAGGCCAGGAGCCAGCCATGTGCAGCAAGCATGCAGGCAGGAAGGCAGGGAGCAGGTGCCCGAAGGCCACGGGCCCTGAAGGCACGGGCAGCAAGGACAACAAAGGGGCAACAAAATGGAGGGGCCCACCGTGCTCCAGGCCTTACCACTTCCAAAGGGGAGTGGCTACATAGCCTGATTGGCAGGTGTGTGTACAGGTGGGATCAGGTAGGGGCATGCAATCACACAGGGGCATGGTTGAGGGTGTGGTCTTCCAGCTCACAAATCTAGTCGAATTTATCCTATGTGCCTACCTATATCACCTGACATTTCTTAACACCCAGGGCAGGTGTGATCTCTTACTGACCATCCCCTCCCAGAGGGTTCCTTTGGTGAGTAATGATTGCAGGAGTATCCTACAAGTCTCCTGGAAAGAGGGCCAGGATATTCATCAACACAGTCTTCCTCTCAGAGAATCCCTTCCTCAGCAAATATGGAAGGATTCAGCCTCAGTCCCGCAGCAGGGAGTCTCGGCTGGGCACAGGCAGGCTAGTATGGACATTTGGAGTGGTATGGTGACTCTATGGCCACACAGATGGCCTCCTCTTCCCCTCAGCCTGTTACTGGTAAAACTACAGAGACCTCACTACCCATGAACAGAATACCTATTTACCCTACTTTACAGGGGTCTCTCACATGATCCTTACTATTCCCCAATATTCTAGCAGGAGAAACCTTTGGCCATTCTCATGTCCTTACCAATACACACATAATTTGGACACCTTGTCTCCCAGGAGCTGGTGTTTTCATGTACTCTGGCTTTTCAGATTGCCCAACCTGGATGCTCTTTACAGGTAGCGTTGTATTAAATGCTTTCTGGAGTGTTCCATCTCCTTGGGGTCATTTGAGAATGGAAGAGGTGTTGGTTTTATTGTTTTGAGTGGGAGTCATGACAGGCATTTCTTAGGTGGTGCCTAGAGATGCTAAATGTTCTACAATATATAGGACAGACACACACAACAAAGGATCATCTAC